ATCTAAGAGCTGGCAAGATAGCATAAATTTTTTTTAAGATAGCATAAATTATCTGGTGACTGAAATTTTCCAATTTCTTAATAAAGTCATTCACTTTGCTGTTCTCTGTACTTGTAAGAGGAACTGCACTTAGATTCTCCAAAACAGTTGATTTGATCTGGCCCATTTGGTAAGGAATGTCTGACAAAAGTGCACTGTCTGATTCAGATGCAGTGATTGCTGTAGAAATTGGCTGTAGACTCTTTGGGGACTTCCACAGTTGAACTGAGAAGACACCCTCATCAAGAGCTGTGCTTCTAACACTTCTGGGTACTTTAAGATTCTCAACTACTACTGTTTCTTGAAGAGCCTCTTTGTTTTTTAGAAAACTCTCCAAGGAGATTAATACTCCACCCCATGGAGTTTTACTGGAGACTTTCACTGTCAGTATTTTATTCTTTATATCCTGTTTTTCTTGCCTCGTCTTAATGATGACAGTGATGATAGGAGATTTTGCTTGTTGAGTGACTTTTCCTTTTCTTTGGTCCTTTTGGGGGTTATCTGGCTTCATGTTGTCATCAAAGGCAGAGTGGTGCGACATAGCTTCGAAATTTGGCTCTCTTGTTCCCCAGCTCTGTGGCCACAAAAAGTCATTATGCCTTTGTACCTCCGTTTCCTCAACTTTAGAACAAGGAAGTTAGATCATCTTGAAGGCTCATCCATCTTTAAAACTTTGTGATCTTAGGAAGCAACTATCCCACACGAAATGCCCACCCCCTGGTAATATGTGGGTTTTTTATACATTTGTTGATTCTTGGTGCTGTTGTCTTGTTACTGGCCTTTGGCGGGGAGGGGGGAGCAGCAAAGTACCTTCCTACCTCCTCTCTCCTGTTGGGTGCAACATACTTTATAACTGATGTATTTAGCCATATAGCTCTTTTCTCCTCTTCCTGTGCTTTTCCTTGTTTGTTTTTAGGGGGTGGTTATGCTTACAGTCTTAGAGCCCATCTCTCCTCCCTTTTGTCCATCCATCTGCAGTGCTCTGTTGATTCTTCCTTGCACACATTCCATTACCCATTCATATCTCTCACTAAAAGAGGCTTGCTCAAAGAATGCTGCTGGGCAAATGGTATGATGGTCTTAGTAATTTGAAAACTTCCTGCAGTATGTGTTTTCCATTATTGACAATGGTGTTCCAGAAGAATATATGGCTCTGGCAAGAGTTTGGTCAATTTTTTCCTCCTCTTCAAGTGTCACCTGTGTACTAATGAAGCCATTGAGGGTGCTTTGTATGCGGTGGCTTGCACATCTATTGGTTCAGGGGTCCTGATGGGCACCTCTTTGTCGTGATACTGATATTACAGGATACAGCAGCATGGCTGTATGAAGAACACCAGGAAGCTCGTATGCTTCTTCCTCATCATGGGCCTTTCCTCACATTTGAAAAATGTCTGAATAAGCACTTCCTGTATTAAGTTTTTTAACTAGAGTTTGGAAATGTGTCTTTTAATTAACAGTTCTCTGGGTGACTTCCAGCACGCAAAAGTTTCTGTATGCTGGAAGTTACCTTGACTGTTTTGTGAGGGGAAAAGCCAGTGGAAATAAATGTTGCACTAGGGTAACTCCAGGTTAGCTGGAGACACCTTTCCAGGCATCTGACCTTTCTTCCTCTCTCCTAAAACCAGGTAGGGAATTGTATGACAAAACCTTAGATTACTAGGAATTCATGTGTGACAGGTTGTAGGAACCAAGCAGCTGAAATTTAAATTCCTGGGTTTTGTTGTTGTTGTTGTTTGTTTGTTTGTTTTAAGAAAGAAGCATACTTCTTTTCCTGGCTACTTTGTAGGCATTAAGAGTACAGGACCAGGAGAAATTGGGTTTCTAGATCTTTTTCATTGCAAAACTTCTACCTCTTCCCTAACTCTCCTCTGTCTTGGGGTCATTTGACCAATAAATACCATATTATTAATCTCTCAAGGAATTGGTAGATATTGCTGTCCTTGTCCACTTCAGACCCACTCCACTGAGAGACGCTCAGGAGGAGTGAAACTTATTAACAGTAGAAGTCAGTGAAAGAAAACCCACAATGAAGCAGACACAGATTCTTTCTTCTGTCTGAGAGTCTGAAGTGATCTCTTGTCTGACAGTTCCACTTTGGTGTCTGTTCTTGAGTTTTAAGAAACATAAGATCTTAGCTATATTAGACAGGTACAGAGGAGAACCATTCTATTGCATGATAAAGCTGAGTCACAGTATAAGTCACTGTTATTTTTTCTCATCCTATAACAATTCATGATCCCTTGTTCAAACTGTTTTTAGAGAAAAAGCAGCTTTCAGCATTTACATTTTGTCCCAGCCTTCACCTCTTCAAAAGAGACCAACAGGGACACCTGGATGGCTCAGCAGTTAAGCATATGCCTTTGGCTCAGGGCGTGATCCTGGAGTTCCAGGATTGAGTCCCACATTGGGCTCCCTGCCTGCTTCTCCCTCTGCCTATGTCTCTGCCTCTCTCTGTGTGTCTCTCATGAATAAATAAATAAAAATCTTGAAAAAAAAAGGAGACCGACACAATGGAACAATTAGAAAACAATACAACCCACTAGAATTGGCTACAAGTGTAAAAGAGTGATAGGGAATCAACCAGTAAAGTATTTACTGAGCATCATTTATTGATTTCTCAACTATGTAAGATAGCAGAAGCCCTGCCCTCAGTTTGATTATGGTCTATTTCAGGAAACAGGTCTGATGCCTTACAAAATATAATGCATGGTCACCCATGCAGTGCACACACTATAGAAGTTTAGAAGAAAGAAACTTCCCTGATGGGTAGAATGGTAGGCATTTTAAGGCTTGAACTGGAAGGAGAGGAAAACTATGAAGAAGGAGAAGAAAATGATATGGCAAAAGCACAGAGATTCCACAGCATACATGCCTATGAAAACAGTCCAACCAAATCAGGTGGAGTGAGAATCAGAGCTAAGAAAATCAGGTGGGGGGAGTGTCCAGGAGGCTTTGAAAGCCCGGCATAGTGTAGATTCCAACTGTGGACTGCAGAGAATCAGTGATGGTTTTCCCAAGGGAAGGGATATGTTGAAATCCAGGCATCCACAGCTGGGATAGACTGGAGGGGGCAAGCACTGTTATGGCAGACTAAGGACAGGCGCTCAGGAGCTGAGCTATAGATGGGGTAGAGGAAACGGGGATGGGGTCAATATGACAGACATTGCTAAGAGGAATTAGTAACACTTGGTGACTGACTTCATCCATAGGGGAAGGATAAAGGCTATATCAAGATGGATTTCAGAGGTGCTTGGGTGGCTCAGTTGGTTCAGCATCTGGCTCTTGATTTTGGCTCAGGTCATGATCTCAGGGTCATGAGATTGAGCCCCAGGTCCTGTGTTGGGCTGGATGTGGAGCCTGCTTAAGATTCTCTCTCTCTCCTACTCCTTCTTCCCCCTTCCCTCTGTTCTGCAACTTTCCCCTGCTTGTGAGTGCACTCATGCTCTCTAGCTCCCTCTCTCAAAAAAAAAAAAAAAAAAAAAAAAAAAAAAGAAAAGAAAAGAAAAGAAAAAAAGGATTCCAAAGGTATTTTTTTGGTTTGGTGGTCTTCAAAAATGTTGGTAGACCTGATCAGGGGGAAGATTAGTTGGCTTTTATTCCCGTTAGGTTTGAGGTGACAGTGGGACAGCTAATAAAACTGTTCAGCAGGCAGCTTCAAATACAAAAAGCTGAGTTGTAGCTCTGTATACTTAGAGAAAGATGAATCACTCAGATGTGTTAAGGGAGAAGTGAGGAAATTCACATCTCAGAAAAGTAGGAGAGGAGGTGAAGTTCAAGGAAAGCGTAGCAAGGAGAGCGAGGGACGTTTTGGAAAAGTCATGGGGAGAATGAAGACTAGGACAACTGATGAAAAGATAATGAACCGGGCCAGATGTGCATAGTTCTGTGACTTCCTCCGGTCACACTTTGCCTTCTCAGGGTCAGACAAAGGCACTAGAATGGAGAGTAGCACAGGCTGAAGAGGAGGACCAGGGGAATCTGGAGACGATAAATGGGACCCAGGAGAGCACCACGTTGTCTCTAGGGCAAGAAAGTGTGGGAGAGGGGAGAGGGCAAATTATTGTCATTAAAGATTGGGGCATAAATTGCAAGGCAGGTGGTGGTTCCTTCATGGTGATGGAGGGGACAGGCAAGGAAGGGAGGGCACTCAGGTGTAGCTGCGTCCCAGACATGTCTGTGGACTATGGGTGGCTCCCTAATATTGGGTTGCTTTACCTTCACTCCAGGACACGGCTAAGGAAACTCCTGCCTTCCACTATCCAGACTCCAGCTAGTAGAAGTTTCCAGCAGCTGGAAGTCCAGCAGCTGGTAGGGGGAGCCGGTTTTGCTCAGTGGAACTTTATCTGATCCACCAGAACTGTTGGCTCTCAAAGCTCCTGATTCACTTCAGGGATGGTTTTCTATCATTTAAATGCCATAAACACTAATAGCAAAATAGCCCACTGGCTGCCCACCCCTGCCCCTGCCAGGCCCAGCACCTGCAGCTCTACTTGGAGAGGACAAGACAGACCCAATAGCCCAGTATGGTGGGGGTGGGAGTATCCTCCAAGCCTGAAGGAAAGATGGTGAGAGGTGAGCAAGATGACAGAGGTCCATTTGGCTACTGGAGAAACCACAGCTGAATATCTTGCTGGAAAGGAGGAATAAAAGCAGGTCATCTCCCTCCCTTCTCCATCTGGGTTTGGGCTTCAAAGAGACATGAGCAAAGGTAAACACATACACACGTAGATGCCCACAGAGAGACACAAAGCGCTACACAGAGCAGAGGTGCGTGACCAATCATAGGACAGACGTTTAGGTAATAAGCTTAAACACATGTAAAGGCACACTTGGACTTGCTCATGCAGATGTTCTCCTGCGTGTCGGCACACAGCTCTTTCCTTCCCATGAAGTACCCTAGTGTGAGCAGAGGCAGGCCTCTCTTTTCCAGGCCTCACCCCTTCCCCTTTGTGTTTTTCCAGGTCGTGACATGGCGAGCACCACTCTGCCTGGTTACCCCCCTCACGTGCCCCCCACTGGCCAGGGAAGCTACCCCACCTCCACCCTGGCAGGAATGGTGCCTGGTAGGTGACAATGCTGCAGCTACCTAATTTGGGTGGGGGTGACTAAATTGTGGGTGAGCTGCTGAGTGGTCTGTAGTCTGAGGCTGGGGGTGGGAAGAGACCCAATATCCCTTCCCCCCCACCCCTCTCTCTCCCTAGAGGCTATAGTGGGTCCCTCAGCCTCCCTCATGAGCAACCCAGGGAGGGAGTTTGCAGAAGTGGCTCTCATATGCATCCCACTGTATGTCATGGCCCCTCCCCAGTGCCCACCCACCGGAGCTTGTGCCTGGGGAGCATTCAGCCTCAGCTCCCTGCTCAGTGCCCCAGCCCACTCCTAGCCAGCTGACACTGCTTGGAAGAGCCTGCCCTGGTTTCCATGGAAACTTGGAGCCAAGAATCATTTCCAGGGGCATTGTCCATCACTCAGACAAAGCCATCCTGGTCCACACCAACCCACAGGGACAACCAGTGTGGAGAACTGACCCCACCCCAGGGAGAGGAAGGGGCTAGTCCCTAAGGAAAGAAGAACAGAGGCATGGCAGACCCAGAGAGACAAGCTAGAGCTCTACGTCTCCTCAGAGGTACCTAGGCCCCTCGTTGCTCCTGAGAAGAGTTGGGTCTGGACCGTGCGGATCAGGGAGGTGGAGGCCAGACTTAGGGTCTGAGGACTGCAGCTGGAGGTTGTACTCTCCCCAACCTCTCACCCCAGACTGGGAGCTGGGCTTGAAGCCAGAGAGTTGAAGCTTCTATTCACAGAAACACCAAAAAACTCTTGTCTTAAAGAGGGTGAGACTCTCTGGGCCTGCAGCCCACTCCTGCTGGCGGCCTTCGCCTGACACACAACCCTCGTGGTGGGGGAGGATGGAAGAGGGTGCCTGGCCCCATTCCCAGATGTCCATCCAGGGGCAGCCCTGGCAAAGCAGACCTTCGGGGGGATGGGCTGTGGCAAAGAGGGAGGCTGCAGCAGGGTGCTATACCAGCGGGGCTGAAGGGAGCTCCTGGGACTGGCTAAGGAGAGCTGGGATGTGTGGGTGAGGGGATTCCCACCCAAACCTGGAGTGGGGTAGAAGTGTTGGGGACAAGGAGATTCTTCTGGGAAGGTCCCAGCAGTGAGCAGGTGGAGGCTGGAGAAGGTCTTGGAAAGGTAGGGGTGAAGGAGGGGGTGTCTGCAAGGAGGTGGGGATGAGGGGAGCTGCAGAGAGCTCATGGTGGCAAGGGGGGAGTCGTTAAACAGAATCTAGTGCTGATGAGGAAATTACACTTGTTTCATTAGCGATGGGGAAGGAGATAGCTCAGTTCCTCTTGGTCACAGTTGAGCTCAGAAGCTCATTATCCTGCTGCACGCATGCTTTCCCTCCTCGTCAATAAACAGGCTTTCCAGTGGCTGCATCCCCCACCCCCACCCAGCTCCCTCTCGGAGAGGGGCCCCTTCTCCTCTACTTAACCCGCGGTTAGGGATCACTGTAAACAGTCTGGGGTCATCACACAGGAGAAAGGGCGAGGGGGAAACCCGGAGGCCTGGCCTTTCTACCGAGGAGGGAGGGAAGCAGCTTCCGAGGGCTCCCGGCCCACGGGGCCCTCCGCCAACGCTCACGGACAGGTGGGCAGTCCACCTGCTTCACCCACCCCCACCCCCGCCTCCGCCTCCTTCTCCTGCTGCTCCCCCCCCCCATCGAATCTCCGGAGGGAAAGGCGGAGGGGGTGTTTCCCAGCAGAGTCCCAATCCCTTGCATTGGCACGGTGCTGAGATGCCATTCTTAGGACTTTCTGGGACAAAGTCTCCCGAGGGCCTTCCTTTGCCACCTTCCAGGGCTTCCACCCTATGGGGCTAGCGCTCCTAGAACCAGAGTATCCACTAAAAAGGCCCTGGGGTAGGGCAGCGGGGTGGGTGCGCCTGACCCCGGAACAAGCCCTTCCCGGGTGGCCCAGCGCGCCTCCTCCGGGGAACCCCAAGCCCCCAGGCCGGCGTGGGAGGCCCATCAGTGCTTCTGCACCCGCCTCGCCACGGGCTCTCCCCACGCAGACCCGGGGGATCGCTCTGCTTCTGTCTGCCCGGGCCCCCAGCCGGCATTGCCCTGCCCGCTGCACCTGTCCCTGCGACCCCGGGCGAGGCCGCTGGCTGGGGCACGTCGGGTCCAGCCAGGCGTTGCGCGGGTCTGATCCCCACTCCCCCGCCCTCCCGCAGGGAGCGAGTTCTCCGGCAACCCGTACAGCCACCCCCAGTACACGGCCTACAACGAGGCTTGGAGATTCAGCAACCCCGCCTTACTAAGTGAGTACGCCACCTGGCTGGCCGGCGGCTCAGCGCGTCAGCCCGCGGGCCGGCTCCCTGCGACCCGACCTTCGGGTGCCGGCCGGGCGGGCTTGTTAGTGCAGCACCGAGGCCCCGGGATCCCTCGAGGACGCCCGCGCCTCCCTCCCCTTCCCTCGTTTTCTCTTCCTCCCCCGGGGCTAGGAGGCTCTGCGCCGCCGCCCCCCCCCGTGTCCCCCCGTGTCCCTCTGGAAGGTCCCCCCAGCCGGGCGGCGGCGGTCACCGATCGACTGGTCCCTCTCCCGGCGGTGAATGAAGCTCTCCTGGGAGCGACCGGCCCCGTAGCCCAGCCAAGGTGTCCCTGCCCCGATCCTGCCAGACCCCAGCCCCGGGGAGGTCTTTGCTTTTCTTTCCTTTTTTGTTCTCCTGTTTGTCCTCTCACCCAGCCCATTCTTCTCCTGTGTTAACTTCCAGGTTCCCCTTATTATTATAGTGCCGCCCCCCGGGGCTCCGCCCCTGCCGCTGCTGCCGCTGCCTATGACCGCCACTAGTTACCGCGGGGACCACATCAAGCTTCAGGCCGACAGCTTCGGCCTGCACATCGTGCCCGTCTGACCGCCCACCCCGGAGGGAGGGAGGACCGACGCGACGCGATGCCTCCCGGCCACCGCCCAGCCCCAGCCCCAGCCCCACCCGAGGAGCCCTGCAGCCCTTCACACCACTCCGTCCGCGGCCCGACAGGACGGGTGGAGCCGCGGGCCGGACCCTCAGGCCCGGGCCCGCCGCCCCCAGCCCCGCCCGCCGCCCCTCCCCGCCTGCCTGGACTGCGCGGCGTCGAGAGGAGGGCGCGCCCCAGCTCGCCGCGGCGTGGCCCGAACCGGCCCCGGAGCCCACCACCCACACCGCGGGACCCTGGCCGGGCCGCCGCTGCGCGCGGGGGACACGTTTCTGTGACATACAATCACCGCGGACCGCAGCGCGGCCCAGCCCGGGAGCAGCCCGCCTCGGACGCTCCGGCGCCGGGAGGCTTCGCTGGACGGGCTGGGCGAAGGAAATCAAGAACAAAACGATTTTCTGCAGAAGGAGGAAGAGCCCCCTGCCGAACCCTTGGGGAAGAGTCCTTACCCTCGCGCCAGCCGGACTGCCCCCACCTTCCGAGTGTGCCCTGCCCCAGGAGGTGGAATGGAATGGGGGCGTGCGGTCTGGGCTCTTGGGACAGGGTTTGGGGTCATCAGGTCTTTCCGAAGTTGGGACCCAAGGCACGCAGGCCCCAGCAGCGCGCACCCACCAAGCCCTGCTCTGGGCTCTTCCCTGCTCCACCTGAACTGCCTGGTTCCCCAGGGTCCAGGCACTCCTGCTAGTGACCGGACTCTCAGTCCCCCCTTTTGCCCCTACCTCAGCGTCTCTTCCATCCGCCGACCTCTCATCCTCCCCTCCTGCCTGTCCTCCTCCCGTCCCACGACGCTCTGCATCTCTCCCTAGCTCCCGCCCCTTCGGAGGCTCTTCAGTGCCTGCCGCAGGACCCGTTTTCGTAGGCCGCGGGCACTGGTCTGGCCGAGCAGCCACTGAGCGTCCCCTGCCCCGACACAGACTCGCGATCTGCGGGTGGCAGGAGCAGGTTCTGAGCTGGCATCTGAGCTGCGGCCGAGGGACGCGGGGGCTGCCCAGTCCACCCCCCCCCCACTCCCCCCAACCCCAGCCTACTCCTGCGGCAGGAACTGAACAGGACCGCGAAAAGTCTGCGTTTATTTAGTATGACGGTCTTTGCAAAAAGGATAAGCAAAACAAACTCAACAGGCTGCTGCTTTGTAGAAAGACGGTGTGTGTCGTGTGAAGGCGAACCCCTGTGTATATAAGCCCGCCCCACCGCTCCGCCCCGCCCGGTAGAGTCCCCGCTGCCGCCCGCCCTGCCTGTAGATACGCCCCTCTGTCTGTGCTGTGAGAGTCGCCGCTCGCTGGGGGGGAGGGGGGGACACAGCTACACGCCCACTAAAGCACAGCACGTCCTGGGGGAGGGGGGCATTTTTTATGTTACAAAAAAAAATTACGAAAGAAAAGAAATCTCTATGCAAAACGACGAACATGGTCCTGTGGACTCCTCTCGCCTCCGTTTCGTTGGCTATCTCTGTAATCCCGTGTTTCCGCTCTCCTCGTCTCTCCTCCGCATCTCTCCCCTCTCTCCATCTCTCTCTCCGCCCCGCTTCTCGCCCCCTCTGTCTCTGTCTCTCGGTCTCTGCCCCGCCCCCGGCCTCTCCCCCAGCCCCGCCCCGGCCGCCTGGCCCCAGCAGGCCAGCGCCCCGGCGGCCACTCCAGCCCCGGGCTCGCCGCTCCGGCCGTGCCCCTCGCGCCCCGGGCCGCCGGCGGCCGGGCCGCCCCGCCCCGTAGTAGCTCTCTCGGTAGCGGCGACGCGCCCTGCATGTCTCCTCACCCGTGGATCGTGACGACTCGAAATAACAGAAACAAAGTCAATAAAAGTGAAAATAAATAAATAAATAAACAAATAAATAAATAAATAAAAATCCTTGAACAAATCCGAAAAGGCTTGGAGTCCTCGCCCGGATCTCTCTCCCCTTCGAGCCTTTTTATTTGAAAAGGAAAAGGAGAAAAAAGAACAGTTTAAGGGAACTGCCGGCGCCCGGCCAGGCTCCGTGGCCCGAGCGGGGCGGCGAGGGCGCTGAGGTCCAGACGCCGAGGCCCGGGCCATCCCAGTCCTTGTGGAGCTGGCTGGGCAGGGGCCCCAGACCCAGGACCCAGTCGAACCCTCGAGAGATCCCCTGACAGCTCTGGTCTCCTTAGCCACTTTCAGCGCGTCGGTTCGTTTTTTTTTTTCTTTTTCTTTTTTTCTTTTTTTTTTTCTGTGCACATGAGAAATAAAATAATAATAAATAATAATAATAAATAATAATAATAAAATTTTGTATGTCACTCCCCATGGCTCCAGGTTTGTCTCTCCCTGTCTCTGGGACAGGCCTCCCCTCACACTGGTCGATCCAAATAACCCCTTCAGGGGTCCTCCCAGCTGCACCCCCACTGCTACTGGCCTCCCACCCTTTTGCCTCCCACTCTTTCGACGAGACCCTCTCGAGTGATGGCTGGTCGGAGGCAGAGGCCCAGACGGGTGTGCCCTTCAGGTCGCTACCCTTATGGCCCACCTCGCCCTTGGGGCAAGGAGTTTCACTTTCCAAAACTTCAGAGTAACTTCGAGTGACGCGTCTACACCATGCCGACTCGGCCGCCCTGCCTCTCTACCCTCACTCAGATTTAGGGTTCAGACTCTCAGAAGGCTACGTCGGAGGCGCTCTCCCCACGGTGGAGGTCATCTGCCAGGCAGTCTCCTTCCTCCGCCTGTCGCGCAGCCCCGATTTTATGGCCCGAGGCCACACAGAGACCCCGAGACCGCAGACGCTGTCCACCGGTTTCCTCGCTAAGCGTTTACTTCCAGGCCCGGACAGAGCCCGGCCCTGCGGAGACTCGGGACAACCTGCTGCTCGCCCATCCTCGCGCCTTTGGGTTCGTCCTGGAGAGGGCGTGCAGGCGCTTATGTCTTATGTCTGTGTGTCCGTCGGTTGGTCGGTGGCCTGGATTTCTGTTTGCGTGGGTCTGTCTGTCCTGGGGAGGGTCTGGTCGTGGGGAAGTAGGAAAACGGGTTTTTGTGTTTGTGTTTTTTTGTTTTGTTTTGTTTTGTTTTGTTTTGACACTCTACTGTTCTTGTCCCTGAGGTCCAGGGAACATCTGTGTGTCTGTCCCTGTGTCTGTTCCTGCGTTGGGGAGGAATGCATCTGAGATACTTCAAAAGGGTCCCACTTCTGTCTCTTCAGCAACCTCCCAACTCCAGCCCCACCACAAAGGCCATAGCATCCACGTGGTCTCTGCTCTTAGAGACTTTCTTTCTCTGCCCTTGGGAAACCTTCCCCTTAGCTCCCATCTCTGGCTTTTCCCACTTGAGAGGCTGCTGAAACTGAGCTGTCAAGGATGGAAAACAAGGCCTGGAGGCTGACTAAGGAATGACCTTCTCCCTTGGCTGGTGCCTCCCAGACGCCTCCTTCCCACCAGGATCCCAAAAGTCTTTCTTTCCTCAGCCCATTTGCTCAGGTTCACCCACATCAAGGGTCTTCGGGAGGGTATGAAGGGTCTGCAACAAATCAGCAAGCCCTGAATCAGGTCTATCCCCTTCCTCCTCTCTCTCCACCTCAGTCTCCTCCCTATTCCCCATCTCAACAAATGACAGTCCCATTTTCCACCCTGCCTGGTGCTGCTCCTGTTGATCACGAATCTCCTGGAAGAGTAGTCTTCGAACTTCTTTGATCATATACACTATCAGTAAAGAGAATTCTGAATATGTACTCCTAATATAAGTATGTTGACTTATTTAGCAATTCCGTAAATATACTATCAGACTAACGTTATGATTTTTATAGGACATAAAATAGAAAAAGGATGCGATTGGAATGCATAGGAAGAAGTTCTCATGTTCTCATCTCATGCCTAAATGGATTATTTTGCGCTCCCTGGAAAATGTACACCCCACTTCAGACACTCTGCTAGGAATCCATCAAAATCCAACATGGCAGAGCTCCTGGCTGTCGCCTGATACCCAGTGGATACGTTCTTGGAAGTGGTCAGTACACTGGATTGGCCCAGCCAGTGCTGCTCTCATCATATGTAGCAGGCTACCTGACCCCCAGTGCCTGGCTTTGCCTCCAGGTGCCCTAGACTGAGAACCCTGCCCTGCTCGACCCACTAAATTGGAAGTCAGGGCCTCCTCTGGGTACCCCCGGAACTCCTTACCTTCTGTTCTACTTCTGGTCACCTTCAGACCAAATTGGACAGCGAGGATCCCACAGTCTACGGTGACCACCTTTGCCCAGAAGCTCTCATGCTGTGCCCCTCCTGAGGTACTGATATCTGCCTGGGATTCTGAGGGCCTCCCAAGCATGTCTCTACTCTTTGACCAGTTTCCTGTTCTAATTGCAGCTCCATTTACCCTCCCCAAACACAAATAGGGCCTGTTCCACAGCTTCAGCATTCCCCAGAACTCACCTAATTCTGACTCTGCAGGTCCTATCCTCCCCCACTCCCACAGAGTTCCCAGCTGAGGTACACCAAGTATGACAATTAGAAACAGATGAAGAAAGGTGTCCTGGGTTGAAGGAACAGCAGGAGCAAAGACACGGAGGCATGGAAATCTACCAGATAAAATGTGGCTGGAGTATCAGGTGCCTGGGGAGAGGCAGAGGGGTAGACAGAGATGGCAGGAGATGAAGCGGAAAAGTAGTTGAGAGCCAGGACACTGTACTGGAAATGTCAAAATGGTATCCATCACTCATGCAGCTCCTTTAGGGAAGCTGCCCCACTCCCAGCCCCTCCTGCCCCTATGGACACCATATCTGTACCAGTGACTCCGCTGCTAGAGGTAGACTTGAGCACAAATCCAAGCTGAGCCAGTCAGGACAGGAAACAGGATGCAGGAGAGGATGAGGACATGGGGGGAGCAAAGCCCAGGGGAGGCCCTGAGGGGATTCCCCATCTTGGTCATCACAGTAGAAGACAGCTCCAGTCTGCCACTCACTCAGGCCAAAAGCTCAGATGTGCCCCAATGCCCTTGTCTTTCCCATCCCACATCGAATGCACCAG